CTAACAGGCAGAATAATAAACTTGAGACTACAATCAGATCAACCATAATCATATTGAACGGCAGAGTAAGCTTAGCAGCAGAAGGGCCTACTTCTGTTCCTGAGTATTATTTTCCCTATGTTTTCCTGTAATAAATGGAGATCATGTATTCATAATGTTCACCAAAAATGTTGTCATGACTCTGACCTACCCCAAAGATCGATCGATCGATCGATCGATTGATCTCTTTTTCCCACCACTCCCCTTCCTGAATAACTTCAGGTGGAATTGACGACTAGTTGCACACCTGCAGCTGATGGGAGGGACAATATTGTATCTGTCGACTTCTATGAAAGCTGTCTATGCACCCCAATACCATCCACTCCGCCAGCTGAAATTCTTCATGGCCTTCAAAAACCCAATTGCTAACTGCTGCTGCCCGTCTCACTCATCCTTCCAACATTTCCTCTTAAAATGAAAGGAGTGGTTTTGGGAGGCACTTGGGAGGAGTTGTGGCTCCAATTCCTTTCCAGTTCAGAAAGCATTGATCAGATTTGGGAATGGTGAGCAATTCTGGTCCATCACAATGCCCATCAGAATTTGCATGGTTGGAAGAATTCAGGATTCATTTGCTTAATCCTAGTTAAGCAAGGTTGTCATGGGTTATGGTTACCCTTTGGGTGATGGTCTCGGTTGGTTGATCACCCATTCTACAAATTTACTCATTGTTGAGGAGAGGATTCTGTGGTATATAGGTGACAGGTGAGTCTACAACTCAATTTTAGCCAAGTGTACGACTACTAATAGTTTTCATAGGTTAGTTAAACTTTGAGCTGGTTGTGTAACACCAAATAAAACCATGTACTTTGTGACCACCATTCTGGCTGAGAACTGATGAACTCCCATGGTGGTGTTGAACCATCAAGCTAAAAGTGTTGACCATCATAAGCAAATACTAGAAAGCTGTATTGTGTCTCAATTATCAGCCAATTCCACTTTTGATCACATGCGTACTTTTTAAATTTTTTTTTTCCATTGCCGCTGGTTATTTGCAACATTGAAGTTTACTGTGTCTTTAATGTCTGTGAAACAATAGAGCGCTCCACCATCATGTCAGTGTCAGTTCAAACACACGTCAGCATCATGCAAGCACTGAGCAACAATAGAACACGGGTTGCTTTTAAGCCAGTTTGAAGGCAGCTCAGAATATCAAAGGAGGACACCTAGATTTTTGAGTTTTACCTTCACTTTGGCTAAACAGCAGAACCAGAAGTCATTGCTGTTCAGTTAAACCTTAAAAGGTCTCTGTTACTGCCATTTCATCAAGTGTTGTCTCCCCTC